GTCCAAGATATGTACCACCTCCAAGCTTGGTGACATGGCCATGTACTGGATAGCTGAAAGGAATGGTGAGCATCTCAAAAAACTCAGATATCAGTGGGCCCAGTAAGTCTCAGTAGAGGAACCCTGCTTTGGGCCTTTTGCTTCCCTATTGTTCTGTTTCCCTGGATGCCAGCAAGGTTTTTGCCTCAGGACAACCCTTTGTGAAGCCTGTAGTAAACAGTTTTCAAATGCAAACGAATGGGCATCACCTATGGCTCTTTGCTTAATTGCTTTGCAAAGGGATGTGTCTGAATCAGCCTCTTGGCCCTGTGTGAGGATGTGGCTTAGATTGTCAGCACCTGATGGATCTCAAGAAAGAGACATATGTGCATCAATAGCCAATATGGCAAAAAAGCAGTCATTGTGGATGAAGTCTCTCACCTTCCTCTGTAAGGTTCCTTACCTCCATCAAGTGAGAATAGGGATCCTTTGGGTCAAATATGTTTTTCAAAGTCCTGCCGAGGCTAACCATTATGTGCTTGGGTTTTCTCATCACTCCAATTCACACAAAGAATCTATACCCCACCATCAGCAGGTCTCAAAGTGGAGAAGCTAAGCAGTATTAAAGGCAGGCCTATTTGATCACTCCTGGTTCAAAGGAAGGGTGTCCAGGCCACCCTGACATTAGGCAAATGAGGGGCAAGGGAGCTTATTGTGGACACTGTCTTTGGCTGCACCCCTCATGAAAACCTCCAGCCAGAGGTTATGAGGATTGTCTATATGGTAGCAGATGAGGGCCTTGTGGCAGTGTTTTGGTTTGAATTGTGGTCATTTGTGTGGCTGTGGAAGAGATGACTGGTTACGCCTGGGCTTGATCTATAGTGTGATTCCCCTTGGAGACTGAGTTCTGGAACTGACCTCAGAGAAGTATTGCCATGAATTGTGTTGGGATTTTTTGAGGCCATGCATGAGAGTTCCCCCAGGAAACAGAGATTGAAGCCCAGGGTGAATTTTCACAGAACACTGAGAATCTCAGTCAGCATATCACATGATTTTATTTTTAAAGACCTGGCAGCCATAGTTAACAGTCAAAACACACATGGACTTCACATTTTAAACCTCAGTGGGCCTGGTTTCATGTGACATTTTGGCCACTCTTCGGGAAGCCTTATTTGTGAGAGTTCTCCAGAGGTTTTATTGAAATGATCTTTCTCACAATTTAATGGTTCCTGAATGAATGGAAACCCACAGTGCCTCCAACTTCATCCTTTAAAAATGGCTAGATAAATACCCTGCAATCTTTGAAATTCCCATGACCAGGTGGCACTGGAGAACCTTTGGATGTTCTGTTGCTTATCATGAGTGTACCAGACAGGTGCCTTGATTGACTGGGTTGCATGAAAATGATGTAGAACAAAGATGTCAGTAAGGTGGGGCTTGCTAAGTAGTAGGCCTAGAGCAGTGGTGTGCAGGTGTATGATAAAACATCTGTAGTGGGGCCATGTGGATCTGCCATGGGCTTCAAAATGGCTTGTGACTGACATGGTACAGACAGCAGACCCTTATATGTAAAGGTATTTGTTATATGAAGAGGTTTCAGGGAAATGTTAAGAATCAGGTTGCTATGGTTAAGGGGCCAAGCTCTGTGGAATAGAAGCATGGTTGGTGCATTCTCCTAGGACCCTGACCCACCACATTTGACAGAACTCCCTCCAGCAGTGTGTCCCAGTTTAACTCTTTGTCTTTCGTTAAGCAAATACCAAACTCCCAGTGCAGCAGAAAGAAACACCATGAAAAGTGGAGGATGACCAAATAGCTTCACAGTCCCCACGGGGAGACACTTAGCCCCCAGTGGCCACAGTTTACCTACAAAGAGATAATTCAGCACTTCTGCCTCATGTTCATTGGAAAATCAGAAACCATGTCCTCCAGGTCACTTAGATGCAGACCCAGCTTTGATGGTCTCACTACAAAGGAAGCTAAATCTCCTGACAACAACATATATTTCAAGTGCCCAACCTCAGAGGCAGTTTCTCAAGTAGTCTTTAGACCAGCAGAGCTCCATGTTTGTGGAGTGTTTATTTTGTCCCTTACTTATGGAAACTCCTCTACCACCTCCAAAGTTGTGAACTCCTGAGCATTTTTCATTCCACATATGAATTCAAAGATTTTCTAACTCTTCTCCTCGAATTGTGTCTTACTTGGGGAGAGGGTAATGTCAAGGCATTGTTCTGGATGAAAGTGGGAAGATTTTTGAGTAGCACATATTTGCATACACATTGGATTCATTTTCCTATTTTCCATTCCAAATACTGAATCCCTGACACTAACCCATACCCTACTAGACTCTGACTAGGAATCCTAATATTATAGAGAAAAATAACAAAAAACAGAATAGAAATACGAGCAGTTCAGAGGAGGCATGGTGTGTAGTTGGACAGACCTTTTGCATTATAAATGGAAGGTATTATGAAACTATTCCAATGTAATAGATCTCCATGTGTTTTTAAACTTAAAAATATGTGAATTCCTGTCTCCATTTCTCTTTAGTCTATTCAGCACATGTATTTATACATGCACATAGAGAATCCTACCTGGTTTCCCAGCTACATTCTTGTTTGGTGTCTGACTTGGCAAAAACAAACTGTGAGAAGAGATCACTTATTCTAAGTGCTGTTGGAAATGAAAATCAACCTGTGAGTATGCTTCCTACTTAAACAACATGATACATTAATCCATGTTCAGTAATATAAATATTTTTGGATCTGTGGATGATATATATTTCACGATTAATTTCAATTGGCATATATATTTCTGCTTTTTGAAGTGTCTCTGTGTGTTTTGTGTATATATATATATATATATATATATATATATATATATATATATATACAAACACACACTCTTCAGATTGTTCAAAATATAAAATATATTTGTCTTATTTTACACTCCCTAAATTCATTTTCATGTATGTAGATTTATAATCAACTTTGCACAAGATTATTCTCAGAAATATTCATCCACCTGAAATAC